CTACAGAAAGCCAAAGCTGACATTGAAAGTAAGAACTCTAAAATCACTGCTCTGGAAGACCACCTGCAAAGGTGCAGCGTTGAAATTGACCATCTGACCCAACAGCGAGACGACGCCAACGACGAGCTCCACGCAGTCAGAGATGAACACAGAAACCAGAGCCAAGAAGGGAGAGACCTCCTTCAGCATCATCACTGCTGAGCAGAACAGAGTCCTCCATCCAAGAACTGTCATCCTACGGAAGAAGTGAATGGCCACATTCCAAAACGTCACCGGCCTTCACCACAGAACTCTTCCCTGCCAACCGACAAAGAGAGATCATCCAGCCAGACTCCAAAGCTGCAACTGGAATGACCTTCAAAGATCTCAACCAGCTGGCTAAGAACATCAACCAGTTTGACCCTAACTCCACGGAGGGCCACAGCATCCAGGCCTACCTCCAAGATATTGACTTCCTCCTAGAGGTGAGACCCCATTTGACTGACAGAGACATTTTATACCTCCTCAGATCCACATCCAGTCAAGAGGTACGAAGCTTCCTAGATCGACAACCTGCTCATGTCAAGTCAAACTACCAGCTGCTACGTGAGATCCTGATTAAAGAATTTACAAGTCCAGAGTCAGAACACGGTGTGTTAGTCACCTTGGAAACCAAACAAGGTCGTCAAGAGACTCCCCAAGCCTATTATCACCGTTTCCGACAAGCCTACTTCGGTGCACATAGCAAACCTGAATTTGAAGAGGATGTGAACTTCAAAACCATCTTCCTGAGAAACCTGCACCCAGGACTGAGTCGTCATCTCGGCATCATGGCCTGCCCAGTCACCATGACGCTTCAACAGCTACGTGACCTGACACACAAGGCCTACATCAAACAAAAGATGACTTCAAAGAAAGGTTTGAAAACATCCAAAGTGTCAAACTCCAGCAGCCAAGACACAAGCCTTGCACTGGAAGACGCCCAGTGGCATGACAACGCCACAGTCCTTCATCAGGAGCACAGAGAACGTGACTCCCATGCCGATGACAGCTACCACTCCAACCATGTGGAAAAGTCATGGGACCCACCAGAAGGAAACAACTGGAATCAACGAGTGCATCCAAAGGCATTCCATGTGGGTAAGCGACAACAAAACCCACCTCCACACCACACTGAGTGTGTCCAAGAACACGACAGTCTCCCCTCAGAAGACATGGAGCAACTACTGAGTCGACTGCAAGTGTTCTTCAAAGACAAGCTGAACACAGAAGACTAGTGATCACCTTGCACACCTTCCTGAGACATCCACCTGTTCTACAACAACACAGAACAAAGTGGCCTCTCACAGTCAACCACTGACAAACACCCAGAGGTACCAGAAAACACCATCCTGGTTACCCATCACACCACAAGCTCCAAACTCAAGAACCATCTGTGTGCTACAGCCACAACAGTTAGCACAGAAGTCAGAAAGTCTGTCACCACCAGAAGGCATCACAAGAGGAAGGCAACAAGGGAGACCACGTTTTGCACTACAGCTTCACGCATCCATGCCAAACCACCTCCCAATGTCTGCCAGAGAACTTCCTGCCTTACTGGACTGACCCCCAGCAGATCACAGAAGATCCCTTTCCAAGGCAAAGATGTGACAAGCTCATCAAAGCTAAGCCATCAAGCAAAGGGGGGAGCAAAACAGACTGAGACAGATCTGACATACATACAGCATACGTACAGTACATGCACTACACTACATGCACACTACACTGTACCACTAACATACACAAGTTAAACACCTCTACCATGAAGAACATTCCACAAACATGTTCTTCCCGCAGGTAGACACTGAAATCGCTACACTGTATTAGCTACCCTTTCCACAGGGAACATATAGCGATACATCCAACAAGTGTAACACCTCTCATTACATTTTGACACCTGTCACTGCACAACAGTACCCATACTGGAGTCACTCAACTGTTTTGTTTTGTTTTACCTCTTCCTTCCCTTCTTCTCTTATCAGGTAAAATCCCTTTTACCCCATAAGGGTCAAGGTTACAATATAAGGATTGACGCATCACGCCTGACGTTTGCAAGTCACCTTAAAACGAATGTTAGCCAGAGAACTCCCTGCATCATTCAAATTAAAATTTGGAAGGTAAATTGGTCTAAACCTAGAACAATTTAGAAGAGAATTAAACAAACAAATCAAATTTAGTCACAAAAGTTGATCAATCACCGTTTTAAAACAAACTAGAATAACGGTCCTAAAATTGAACTAAACTTTTTCCACATGATTGACTATTAAGAGAGTGAACCTGTTTAGGCCTAGATAATCTGATGCCCTGCACCAGTAAAGTGACCAGTCATGGAGGAGTTGCCTTGTTGTTTGCTGTGTGTGTTTGCTTCTTCTTCTTCTGTTTCTCCAGCGTTCAATGATGTCTTCTTCTCAACCCATCATCGATCGAGGGGGGATATGTAGAGAATCGAGGCGAATCAAACACAACTTAATCAAATTAATCTCTCATGGGATTAATTCACATGGATTCAACACTCCAAAAGTTCTGGAGCCCACATTCCAGAGTCACGGAACGGCTCCATGCTGTCTGCAGATAAGGACTTTTATTGCCCCACAGGCCCAAGAGATGGGCACTAAACAGGACGAACGTGTCAATATGTTAATGTTTTGCTAAGACAAATCGGCTCCAAAATGGTGGAACGAGAGGCTCACAACAAAGACCCCTTTGATCCCCTGACAGAGACGTTACACAGAACACCTTTCCTCTACCCCTACTCCATGAACCTACCACGACCTCACTGTTGAGATCTCTCTGAGATCTCACGCATAAAATCATATAAACTCACCACAGAACAATTCTTGGACTTATAACCAATCATAATTCTTGTTGTTCCTACACTTCATGTGTTATTATGCTTAGATCACATATTACAGTTTTTGCCTATTGCTTGAACACATTTTGCAAAATTTCGCTCATTGTGCCAAAACTCTACACACAAGTAAACATGACACAACACTGGAAAATATACCATCGACATCTGTGTCAAATTGAAACTCTACGATCAAAACCTAACATTCCTTTGTCAAAATGTAACTCTGATGACAAAATGACACATACTTGCACCATATGCTAACACTTTCAGATCAGAGGGAACACACTAGTCTACTTTATATAAAACACTGCAGTCTTTGATTTTGACTGTTTATTCAGAAGGCATATTTTCAGGAGGAACATTTTCAAACAACCAAAAAAGCAAACAGGCCTTCTCAATATTGTACATTGCAGCACTGTACATTGCAGTAAGATAAATTCAGATAAAGCAAAAAAAAAATATATACAGTTTTTGCCCATTGCTTGAACACTATAGAACCATGCTTAGACTAAAGTAACACAACTTGAAGCTTTTTTTACCATGCCTCAAACACATGTACCCATACTTTAAACAAAAGCGTTGCTTTTTACTCTAGTTGCAATTCTCCAACACACTTACTCCTTTATGCAACACACTTGGTCCTTCATACTACACTCTATTTCATACATAAGACACTTTGTTCAAAAATGAAATCTCAGGGTGCCATTTGGAAAACACATGTATTCAAAATACAAAACACATTGGGTTATTGCAACCACTCAAATACACATCCGAAGGCACTTAATTGCAAAACTGAACACCAATCAGCCAGCTACAAAAAGCCCTCAGTTTAGCCATTTGAAGAACTTTGCAAGCATGGATAGAGGGAGGGAGGGCAAGAGGAAGAGGAGGAGGAGGAGGTCAAGGTCAAAGAGGCCATGCACGGACTCTGATGATATACTGTAAGAGCAACTGTAAGAGCACGTAAACAACCATGGCCTGATGATGAGGGAGGCTGGGCAGAGAGTCCAGCCACATTTACATAAGGCGCTTCACAGTGACATCTATAATAAGAACATTCCGACTAGAAAACAGGTATGTCTTCACCTCTCTACCTTCTACTCCACTCAGATGGTATTTACAGCACTCACATCAGTGTATATCACATCAATGACTAGAAGACCTTTTGGGAGAGGACGCCAACGCCTGTTCACACAACAGAAGGGAACTCACCATTGTGGACCTACACTGTAATGAATTGCTGTAAAAATTACAGCCATATTTTACAGCCGCTGGCTGTTTTCTAATAATACAGCATTTTGCTGTAAACTGCAATGCATTCTGGGGCCGCGTGGCGGTTTGATTCAAAATACAGAATATTGCTGTAAATTTCAAATCGACACAGAGGCATTGTGATCTTCAACGGTCGTGTCGTCGACTTTCGGATAGCGGCAAGAGGAGTGATTCTCAACTGGTAAGTGACTTATTTCAGTTTCTTATGTTTCATGTTGTGTTACTCGTAGACTATGAAGGTAATGTTATATTCGTGGTTCATATTGGTTACCGAGGATCACGCATCCTCCGTACGGGGCGCGAGGGAGACTTGCGCGGGGCTTCAGCAGCCCAGACGCGGGTAGTATTTCACACATTCCCCGGGATCTATGGGCTCCTTTGTTGAGAAGAATTACATGCTTTTCTGACAACAGTCGGTATTCACACGAGCTTCGTGTTGATCAGCACACTTCGCCGTGATTATTTTATGGTGTATATCAAATCAAAATCAAGTAATCTGTTAAAATGGGCGCCGAAATGAAAAAAAAAAAAAACAGATTATGAATGTTGCCGTGTCGTAACGTTATGTTTAATATTCCGGTGTGAAAATCCCTTATATTTCAGTACGAATATAAGCTATATATCCTATATATTTTAGCTATAACGTTAGCCTAAGTTACTCTCTGTGTGGAATTTGCTTATTTGTTTTCATACTTCCTTTGTTAATTTTATTTAAAAGAAAGAGTTCCTGCACTCTGAATACTAAAATATAGTTTACATATAAAATGCTGAAACATAAAAATGGTATAGTAAAAAATAAACTATTGTCACATGTGGTATTGTTTTAGGAGACACTTTGACAAGAGGACACTGGAAGGCCAAGTTGTGTGAGGAGAGCATTCAGCCCAGCTTCCTGTCTGGCCTTGCTACTGTTCACTGCATATTATTACATATTCAATCAGGAGGAGCCAGCCTGCACCTTGGAGTTCATTTAAAGGTAATTATTGCATTCCTAACAACCTCAGTACATTTTACACATGTACTCAATATCTGCCTTTTGATGTATTATCTATTGACTTAAAGGGATAGTTCACGTTGAAAGTAATTTTTGATATGTTTTAGCTTACCTCAAGGGCATCCAAGATCTAGGTGTCTTTCTTTTCACAGTATTTTTAATTTTTAAATTTTAGGTCGAACCATTCTTGTCTTCAGTCATATAATGGAGGTCTATGGTCACCACCTCAAAGAGCATGCACAGAGAAGTCCAACTTAAACATGATTTAATGACTCGTAAATGTAAGTACACATTGATGGCCTAAGACAAACGGAAGTGATCTCTCGCGCGTATACGTCACTCGTCTCGTACGTCATTCGTTTTCTCACACAAACCGCTCGTTTCGTGTCTTAGGCCATCAATGTGTACTTACATTTACGAGTAATTAAATCATGTTTAATTTGGACTTCTCTGTGCATGCTCTTTGAGGTGGTGACCATAGACCTCCATTATATGACTGAAGACAAGAATGGTTCGACTTAAAAATATCAAAATTGAAAATACTGTGGAAACAAAGACACCTACATCTTGGATGCCCCTGAGGTAAGCTAAAACATCAAAAATTAATTTCAAAGTGAATTATCCCTTTAATTAGTTAAATCAGGTGTTTTAATTTGTGGACATAGGGTTAGGGTTGGGAGGTCTTCCTGGGAGGTCCTCATGACTGGAGTTGAGAAACACTGCTCTAACAGATTTAAAAATCATGATTACACGCATGAAAAACTTAAAACCAATCCTAATTACATATTGTCTGTTTCCTGACCCTTTATGTGCTTTGTAAGAGAGGAACAAAGAAGAAAATTGCCATCTAAAAGGACAGGGCAAATGGTACAGAAGAAACAGGTTGCAGTGAACCCACATGTTGCCACTCTTCCCTGCAAAGTGGTGTGTTCAGTGGAATTTCTGAAATGTAAGTACACACACAAACACACACACAAATATCTATTTTTCCTTTAATTGTAACCTTTTAATATTCTTTATCTGACTCTAACTGTATCTGTCATCCCTCTGTCTGTCTCTGACTGTATCATTATGTTTTGTAATATATCTAATGTAATGTCCTTTTCAATATTTCTAGCCACTCTTTGCATCCTGTGATGGAACAGCATCCGGAGCTGAATTATTCTCCATTTTTGATCATACGTGTTTTGGACTCACTTGGGGCCTTGTTGTTTGGACATGTTTGTCTGGGAACGAAGAGGTGACAATTCATTCATGTCTGTTTTTTCTTTGTTTTTTTTTTCAGAACCATTTTATTATGATCATGTTGGTCAACTTGTTGTTTTAAATGTCATTTGCGTATTTCTTCTTTGTGTGAAGGGCCCTGATGGCTTATTTGTTTTAAGTAATTAAAAAAAAAAATGTCATGTCCATTTGTAAATAATAATAAAAAAAATTAAAAAAATATACAAAATACACTGTTTTATGCTTTTTTTCCATGCATATTTTAAAGTTATAAATTAAATAAATGTTGACCTGTTTTTAGGATGTTGAATAGTTTGTTTGTTTTGTGAAGTAATAGGGGAATTAAGTTGCGTGTTATACAACACTTACTGAATTTAAAAACAATTGTTTAAAGCTTATGCAGTTGATAAATAATTAACATTTAAAATTCAGCTGGCATTTTACATATTTCCCAGATATAGCGAATACAAAGATTCATGGAACTACTGTAATAAATACAGTTATTTACTGTAATCAGAGAATACAGTAAAAATCAGTAAATTAAATTACAGAACTATACTGTAAAAAATACAGTAACTGGCTGGCAACCCTGCTGCCAGTATTTTACTGTAAAATTTACAGGAAAATTTTTTACAGTGTAGTGAGGGCAGACAATGCCATCCGTCTCCACCAGAAAATACTTGCTGACAGAACAGTGATCAACAACATAAACCATGTAAGGATCACCAACATCAGACGCATCTTGGGAAAACACAGCATCACCATGAAGCAGCTCTACAGAGCCCCATTTGAGAGGAACAGTGACAGGGTCAAAGGACTTCGAGCTGAATATATATGGGTAAGTGTAACTGTCGTTTACATGTACAATGCAGTAATGGTGAAATCCAGTACCAGCTGAATATGCACCATATCAGGACCACATGGATCTATTTGGAGAGCTTCACAGGTACCTGTGATGGGGTGAGGGTTCTGTATGGGTGTTACTATAGTGCAGCAATATGCTCTATACTGCATGCAACAACCAACATATACTCACATTTCTAGATGCTCTCCATAATGTATGTATACTGTAATATATATAGTGTTTTTTTCTATTACAGTATTACTGTATTATATTTATTTTTTTGCTTTATCTGAATTTATCTTACTGCATTGTACAGTGCTGCAATGTACAAGAGAAGGCCTGTTTGCTTTTTTGTTTGTTTGAAAATGTTCCTCCTGAAAATATGCCTTCTGAATAAACAGTCAAAATCAAAGACTGCAGTGTTTTATATAAAGTAGACTAGTGTGTTCCCTCTGATCTGAAAGTGTTAGCATATGGTGCAAGTATGTGTCATTTTGTCATCAGAGTTACATTTTGACAAAGGAATGTTAGGTTTTGATCGTAGAGTTTCAATTTGACACAGATGTCAATGGTATATTTTCCAGTGTTGTGTCATGTTTACTTGTGTGTAGAGTTTTGGCATAATGAGCGAAATTTTGCAAAATGTGTTTGTGGTATGGGGGGCGTGGTTCAGCGCTGTCTGCAGCGGGAGAGCGGGGGAGGAGTCGAGCGGGAAGTAAGCGGGTCAAGTTCAAATGATAAACACCTGTCTGTGATTGTGTAATGGTTATGAGAATGTATACAGCCAGAAAAGTTCATTATATGTAATTTTGTATGTTAAAAAGAGGAAAATAAGCAATTTGCTTTAATTCAGAGAAGTACTTAAAAAAGAGTGAAGAAAACATCATAATTCATGCCCATATATGGAATGTTGGTAAGAGTAAGGGGCCATTCACATATCGCGCCTAAAAACGCGTAGAAAACGCTAGGCGCACGCGTTCTCCTTTTTCCAAAGAAGCGCTAGGGCGGTTGCACTCCGGAGGCGTCTGTCGTTGCTAAGCAACCATCAGCTGCGCTCTCCATTACATGAAGGAAATTTCAGCAATGGATTTCCACCACCGAAAAACCCTTGCTGTAACTCTGTTACAAGATTTATTTACTCAGAAAAGTAAAAAAACGCCGCAGTGTTTGGGTGCACCCCATACTACAAAAACGCAAGAACCAAGGGGAATTTCACCAGCTGATTCAGGAACTCCGCCTGAACAATGGGAGGTTCAAAGCCTATTCCAGAGTGGACAAGGACCAGTTTGATTATATTTTAAGAAGAGGTAACAAAAATGGCGAGGAAGCTGATTGGTTGGTTCGTGTCACGTGACCTACGGTGCGCTTGCGGCATTCTGAACGTTGAGATGTTTTTATCTCGATGCGGCGCGGACGCGCCTGGAAAAAACGAGCGCGTCGCACCGCGACCGCGTCGCTTCCATTATGAGCGCGCATACCGCGCGCCTACATTTGAAATAACGAACTTGAGCGCGCAAAAGACGCGATATGTGAACCGGCCCTAATAACACTGTGATTTCCTGATTGAATGATCTATTAGCGATTATTTTGGTCTTCAAGTTAAAGAGTCATCATAAGATGATGCATTAGCACAATAACATGCCAAAAATGGTATTATTTAAAAGTTACTCTGTTCATTTATTTTTGCACCTTGTTTTCACGTGGTTGCTATTCAAAGTTTGTGTTTAAGAGTTCGCCTGGTGATCGGGAATCGGTTAATTATGCCTGATGTATCACACGGGAAGCGTGTTGCGTCAGCTCGTCCATTATTACACTGGACGTGATAGAAGAAACACCGTGTCCTGTGTCTTATTATTCATTATTCCCCTTTTCCAGGTAAAATCTCTTTATTAATGCATTTTATGTCTGTATTTATGTCCCCTGTAGCCTAAGAAAGCTAGAAGTCAAATTTGTCTGTATAATTGTTATTACTTTGAGTAAGTGCTGCTTAACGTTAGCTCTATTAGTTAGTTAGCTAGCTGCATCACGTGGTGTACATCGCATGGCGGGAATATACAACTATACGGTTCATGTGCAGTGTTCAGTGTTGTGTTCACATAATTACTAAAATCATTTATTTACCTACTGCTAGGAAAATAACAAGAGGACTACTATTATGAAGTAATCTAGCTGTGTTGGTGATAGAATGAGCTGCGCGATGTTGAGTGTGCGCATGCGAGGATGTGAAAAAAAAGGAAGTTCAGTAAAAGCATGTAATACGACTTCTGTGTGTCTCGGCTTTTTTGCAAACACAATATTGGCGACGAGGATGGCTGAATTTGGTTTACCCCCACCTGCACACTTTCTTGCCGTCCCCGGTGACCCTCCAGTTCCATGGGCAAACTGGCTGGAGAGTTTCACAGTCTACCTGGACGCGTTAGGCTTTGATGACATTACCGACAAGAGGAAAATGGCGCTCCTCCGTCATTGTCTGGGAGTGGAGGGGCAACGCATCTTTCGCAATCTTGGGACGCCCAACGACTATGATGCTGCAGTTACCCTTTTGACGACTCATTTCACGGGCCACCAAAGGACTTTACTCCGTCGCTATAAACTTCGGAAGCGCCTGCAACGACCCGGTGAGTCTGTTCGAAGCTACGTGACAAACTTGAAAGACATGGCGCGTTTGTGTGATTACGGGGTTTTGCAAGATCAAATACTTCGGGACCAGTTCATTGAGGGGACATCGTGTGAGAAAACAAGAGAAAAGCTGTTACTAGAAGCGGACGATTTGACTTTAAGCAGAGCTGTGGATATAGCGCTACAGATAGAGACAGCCATGGAATGCACGTCTCAGCTGGCAGGCGCGCGGCCACTCGCGGACGGAGCTACTGAGCAACTGCAGCCTGCCTACCACACCAGCATGCACTCGGCCAATGACAGTCGGGGTTCAGAGCAAGGTTTCCCAGTACAATTCACACAGAGACAGAACAACAGGCGAACTGCACAGGTATGTGGTAACTGTGGTTTTAAATCACACAATTCTAAGGCGGAGCATTGTCCTGCAAAGGACAACAATGTAGAAACTGTCTGAAGCAAAACCATTTTGCCAAGATGTGCCGTTCAGCCCCGGCCACGCTCCCACAACACACTGGACCTCCACCAGCTCAGCACAGCTATACAGAGATCAGGAATGTGACTGCTGGTCAGGTGGCGTTCAAAACATGTACTGTCCAGTTAGCTGAAGTGACCTTACCCTTATTAATGGACACTGGCGCGGCTGCATCGCTCCTAAATTCAAGCACTTACTTTAAGTTTTTCTCTCACCTGCCATTAGACCATCCTGCCACTGCTCTATGTGGCTATGACAGCTCCAGGATTGACATCCTAGGTGTGCTCCACGTGCCAGTCCACTATGGCTCCAAGCACCTACCATCTTTTCCCTTTCATATTGCGAGGAGGGGAGCCAACCTTCTAGGCCTGGACCTGTTCACAGGCCTGGGGTTCACGCTCCGGGACGATGCTGGCTCCGACATCCACCACATCACCTCCACTTGGCAGCAAAGGTGGCCGGCTCTGTTCGATGGCCTAGGCTGTCTTTCAGCCTTCACACACAGGCCTCTCGTGAACCCGGAAGTGCCACCTGTCATCCAGCCCCTGCGCAGGATTCCCTTTGCCTTGAGAGACGAGGTCACCCGCGAACTTGGGACACTCCTGGACATGGGAATTATTGAACCAGTCAACGCTGCTCCCTGGATTTCAAAACCTAGTCATTGCAAAGAAAAAATCTGGAGGAATAAGAATATGTGTGGATTTACGCTTGGTGAATAAGGCAGTTATTCCGGACAGATATCCTTTGCCCACCTCAGAGGAGCTCACAGCACAGTTTATGGCTCAACAGTCTTCACAAAGCTTGACTTACGTCAGGGCTACCTGCAGGTACCACTCCACCCAGCCAGCAGGGACCTCACTGCTTTCGTGACGCATGCTGGGGTGTTCCGGTACACTCGAATGGCCTTTGGATTAAGCTCCGCCCCTAGCTGCTTTCAGAAGGTGATGAGCACAATACTGGCCGGCATCCCTGGAGTAGCGGTCTTTCTGGATGACATTGTTATTCATGCCCAAGACATCGAGACACACAACAAGCACCTCCAGAGGGTGGCTCAAGCCCTTCTTCAGAACAACCTGACTCTGAACCCAGAAAAATGCTGTTTCGCTGCCCCAGCCATCGACTTTGTTGGGTTCCGCTTGTCAGCCAAAGGAATTTCCCCTTTACAGTCCAACATCGATGCCATACACAGGATTCCAGAGCCAACCTCAGCCTCTCAAGTGGCCTCATTCTTAGGCA